AGCCGAACATTAAATACCCGGCGCAAATATTAAATATATGATTTTCACCTTTCCGAAAGCTACCGCTACATGGTAAGCCGGGGTGTATCAATTTTGAGTAAATTAGCGTCCTTAAATTTCAAAATATTGACGTTTCAAGCATTTCTAAAATTTACCGTTATATGAAAAACCATAACTTTAGTCCGATTTCAATAATTTTCATCGTTTTGCTTTTATGTAGCAAGCACAATAAAAATACCGAGTTTGGTACAAATTGGTAGAACGGTTACCGAGATACATATATGTGATCATAAGTGGGCGGTGTCACGCCCATTTTTCAAAATTTTATTATAGACGTATTTCCTGGTAAGGAATTGTTTGAAGCATCAATTTTGAATAAATTGGCTTTAATATTTACTGATTTATCGAAGATTTCGTATTTCTCCAAATTACCGTTATATGAGATGTGGGCGTGGTTATTGTCCGATTTTAAAAATTTTCGGCCATTTGGTATCCTGTACCAAGGCCAATAACTGTGCCAGAAATCGGTGCAGCGGCTGCCAAGATATACACATGTGGCGTGGCTACGCCCATTTTTCAAAAATTTATAACATTCTTATTTTTCGTCTAAAAATTATTGGCCCGTAGTCATAGTCAAAATAAAGTCGACTTTAAAGTTAGTTGCAGCTTTTTTGACAGATATCTCATTGAAAACTGTGTCAAAAAGCTGGAACTAACTTTAAAGTCGACTTTATTTTGACTATGACTACGGGCCACTGTAAATATCAATTTTGAGTTAATAATCTTCAGTAGTTACTAAAATATCGCAGTTTTCGTATTTCTGAAAATTACCGTTATATGGGAGGTAGGCGTGGTTATTGTACCAAGTTTAGTTAAGATATCTTAATTTTTACTCGAGTTATCGTGTGCACAAACGGACGGACAGACGGACGGACGGACGGACAGACAGTCACCGCTTAATCGATTTCTCTTTTCATCCTGATCATTTATGTATACATTTGTCTATATCTATCTCGATTCATTTTGCCTGTTACAAACAACCGTTATGTGAACAAAGTTATAATACCCTTGTGCACAAGTGCGCTCGGGTATAATAAAATGTTAACAAGCCACAATAACATTGACAAATACATAGTTTAGGAAGAGCCTGCCTGAAACTATACAAAAAAGCAAATAAGCAAATGGATGTATAGAATTGACAACAACAGCCACGCTGTCGAGTTTAAATAGCGGCAAATCAGCTGCACTTGATATTAGTTGGTTGAATAAGGAAAATGAATTAGCAACAAGAGTTTAAGGGATGCACATAGCTCAAGGGTTAACGCTTCTGACTTTGAACATCGAATACGCAGGTTCGATCCCTGCTGAGGTCTAGAAAAAAGAAGTCTGATGAGATGTGGTGATCTGCGAAATAGTGCTATAACTTCTACCGCTTAGACTTTGTTGCTTTTTCAATTTTCCCTAATAAACAAACTCGTGGTACAAAGCTGCCTGCCGTGCTATTTAAAAAAAAACGTTAAAAAATGGAAAATTTGGGAATAAAAAATCGCGCAATTTTTTATTACAAATTTTCGCCTGCGGCGCTATGTCTTTGTTGCTTTTTCAATTTTTCCTAATAAACAATCGTGGTACAAAGCTCAATAAAAAAAAAATAAATAAATAAAAAATGGGCATAGCCACGCGCACTTATGATTACATGTGTATATCTTGGTAACTGCTCCACCAATTTCTGCCAAATTTAGCACAGTTGTTGGTCTTGGTAAAACATACCAAACGGATGAAAATTTTTAAAATCTGACAATAACCAGACCCACATCCCATATAACGGTAATTTAGAGAAATACGAAATCTTCGGAAATCGGTAAATACTGAAACTAATTTATTCAAAATTGATGTTTACAATAATTCTTTACCAAAAAATACGTTTATGATAAAATTTTCGAAAACGGGCGTGGCACCGCCCACCTAAGACCCATTATGTGTATCTCGGTAACCGTTCGATCAATTTGTACGAAACTCGCTATGATTATTGAGCTTGCCACATAAAAGCAAAATGTTGAAAATTGTTAACAACGGACTAAAATCACGCCCACTTCCCATATAACTGTAAATTTCAGAAATGCTTGAAACTTCGCTATTTCGAAATTTATGGACGCTAAGTTACTCACAATCCTTTGAAAATAAGTATTATTGAGTTTTGGAAAAAGGGCGTGATACCGGGCATACGTTCTATCAAATGTGTTTGAAATAGGAGTAAAACCACCCATGCTTACCATGTAGCGGTAGATATCAGAAAGGGGGAAGAAATATATTTAATACTTGCGCCGGGTATTTAATGTTCGGCTCCGCCCGAGCTTAAACTTTTTTACTTGGTAAGATTTAGGTGAGTAAATAAGGTAATTTAGGTAAATAAAAAATGGAAAAGTTCGTAATTTTTAATAATAGGGGTTTTTGCTTAAACTCTTAAAAGCCTCGTAAACCTCGCAAAGCCTCGTAAAATAACTGCCAAAATTTGTGTGGAGCTCTATTTACGAGGTAAATTTGATGCGCAAATGACCTCGTAAACTTCAGTGTTGCTGAGGTGCCGAAATTTTTATACCAAAATGTATGATAAAATAATACAAACAAATGAAAAAAATAATGAGCGAATAAAAAGAATTAATTTCATCCACTAACTGTATTGACTTAGGTTTTCTGCTAACTTTCAACATTTTTAATTGTATTTTAGGCAAGAGTGATAGAGACAAGATGTTATGGAAAATACTATGAAACAAAAATTGTTTCACAAAATCCTGGTTGATCTGTCACATTTCTCAAAGGGGGCGTTCCCAAAAAAGCCTCGTAAACTCACGAGTTTTACACGGATTAAGACTTTACAGTTAAAGGGAATCCCCTAAATGTTTATTTTATCTAGTACTTGAATTTTAGAAATTGGACCATATTCATTTGATAAGAAGTAATGGTGCTTCCTTTTCAGGTTACAGCCTGTTTCTTAAACGGTCGTAAATGAAATCTGCGCCAATAAATAACTACTCGCCCGAGTCGACATATGAGCCATTTATGTTGAAAGTGGCATAAGTCACTATCTGGACTTGCCGATTACACAGGTCCGCAAAAAATCGAGGAAAGCCTATTGTGTTATATGGTTTTGGGGTCGCTGAACACGAATCTGAAGTCCGTTTTGCTCCACCACGTCTGGATTTTTTTTTAACCTCAAAAAACATCTCGAATTATACGTGACAGAGAAAATCCGAGGTGTTTTTTGAGGTTAGGAAAAAATTAAGACGTGATGGAGCAAAACGGACTTCAGATTCGTGTTTAGCGACCCTAAAATTATACAACAGACTAGGGTTGGTCAAAGGAACCTTTCATCGATTTTTTTTGTGGACCTGTGTTATTCGTTAAACTTCATCAACCAAATAAAAAAAAAGGTTTCGTTTAGTTTATGCGTGTGAAACTTGCCAATATTTTAAATTATTTCGACTGATGCTGCAGCAGTCGTGAGGACTTTCGGATATATTTATTTTTTTTTATTGTGGTGCAAAAATATTTCCTTCTTGAGAGTTACATCGGGGCTGAAAATGTCGGAGTTTTCTGAATTTCATCTCCCCTTGAAGCATCATGCAGGATTGTTGTTTAAACACCACTTACAAGCCCAACCAGATTGTCTCAGGTTTTTACGGAAGCTTTTTCAAAAGAATTCTTCATTATCTTTCCGTTGGCTGTTTCAGAATTTGTAGATCCTGCAACGTCATCAGCGTTTTTCGATTTTAGTTTTCGTAATTCATTTTTAATACTTTCTTCTATGACTGGTTTGAAAAATTTGTGCCGAATCGGATCAGAATCTTTTTGTTTTTTTTTAAAAGGCATCCCGTATTTTATAAGCATTTGAATTATTGGAATCACGGTTGCAGAGGGTCTCAGAGCAACATAGTTCCCGGGAGGCTTCTTCAAAAGGTTCACTGTAATGAATAGCTTGTAATTAGTTTTCTTATTTGCTGAGCTCGTTTTTTCCTAGTTGCAGGCAGTCACAATTAATTACTTTCCGCTTTCGTTGAAGTAAGCTATCAAATCCGTTTTGTTTTTCGATTCCATGCCCTCAATGCATTTTCATATTTTCAGGCGGATGAACGCAAATTTAAAACATATATAGCCCGCCAATTCCCACTCCTCAAAAGATATTAAATTCGCCTTGCATTGATCGTTATTTGATATCAACTTTTTCACATCCCATTTTATCTTCATTTCGCTGCGTGCTAATTTTGACAGTTATCATTAGAACAAAATAAATGTTGTTTTCGCGCTGAAGAAGGCGCGCAGAGGAGTATTTACATAGTAAAGCTGGTCAAAATTATTTGACGTGTTTTTGTGCTAAGTAATAAAAGAAAACACGGAACTTATGCATAACAATCAGTTTTATGAGAAAAAAAATTACACTTATCTAAGAAAGGGTAGAAAAAACTAGCGATAAAGCCAGTTTTGCACACTTTCTTCTTTCATGTCGAGTAGTGTTTTTAAGATCGGTTCACAAAATCATAATAAAGAAACAAAGGCAGATATTTAAAGCACTGAAAAATAAATTATTAAAAGGACCATGTTCTCGAAGGCGAATCTATACGAGCTGACGTTACCGGAACCGCTGATTTCACGGCGAGTTTGTACCTTTTGTCAAAATGATGTGTTTGTTGTAATTTTGTTTTGTTCTGATCGTCAATGTGCATATAATTTGTTATTGTAATTTTTGTTTTTGTTCTATCAACACCACCTTGTATAAATTTGCCTTGATTTTCTTTTTGACGTATGTATGTATGTAGATTGGGAAATAATATATTTAAAGAGATTGTTGTCAAAGCTGACAAATCTGACTTTTGACCGGTTTTGTTACACAAATACTCCCATGAACCAAAAATACAAGCCCACGCAAGAATGCGACGTTGTATTTGTAACTGGTTTTGAAAAAAAAGTTTAGGAAAGCGGATTCGTCAGCTGAGCATTTGTTTACACCACATGCACCACTATTTTAAACTTTTCCTTAACTAAGAGTTAATACAACATGACAACATGTTTTAAAGCGTTTTAATGAATAATTTTACCTAAATTGTGTATTTAAAGTGGCTGACTATAATTTTGGTATTCGTTATTTTCTTGGCTTTGTTTAGTTTTCTTTCGTTTTCTAGTGAAACAAGATGGCCGCTGAAAAAATCGACTTTTTTCACTCTCTTGTTCTTGCGTTGTTTTTGTTGTTGTAGCGGCTACAACAACCCCGTCCGGATCGGTTAATATCTCAGTCGTTGCCGTCAAGCTCAACTAACGGAAGCCCCAAGAAGCGTGCAGCCCTAATGGGGTCGGTCGACAGGGACAAAGGCGTTAGCTGTATCGGGTTTTCCGAGTATACAAAGAAGTGTTTCGAGTTATGGGGTGTCTCTCCGCATACCGGACGTTCATTTGGCACATCTGCGTCTAATCTGCTCAGGTAGGAGTTTAACCTGTTGCAGTAGCCAGAGCGAAGTTGAGCTATTGTAGTTCTAGGCCCCCCAGGTACATGAAGCTCCGTCTCTTCGATGTCAGGTGGTTGTGTGCCTAGAACGGCACAGGTCTGGAGTCTACATAACTCGAGACTGACTCCCTGTGAGTGCCGCTCAGGGTCTGTCGATAAGCTCACGGGTCCTGAGTGCTTTATGAACTTGTGGACTTCGTCCGTCAGTTCGTAAAGATACCTTCCGATATGCCTTGGCGAGGGCTCCTCTGCAAGCAAGCGTCTGTTCGGATGTCCACGTCTGTGGCTGCCTACTAGGAATTGCTTGCAAAGCATTGTGTTGTATTCCTTTAAATATTTGCTTGTTCTGCGGGATCTTGTGTCGTTTGTTCATGCAAATACTCCTATGAGCAGCGCCCTAACGTAGTATCTCCACAAAAAAAATATTGGCTACAATTTCTCATTGCGTTGGCCAGATATGCGTTTTATCAAAGCTGCGCATTGATTATTGCGAATGCGAATGTTAAAATTACTGCGGAAGCTCCGTCCATGCGAATATTCGCAACAACTCTGGTCTTCACTATGCAAATCAACTTCAAAAAGTACAACGGTTAAAAGCTAAGTCAGCTTTAGGACAATCATGACCATCTTATATATAGAAATGTTAAGCCCGTTTCTTTGGATTTGTAACGACGTTAAGATGAAATCTCTACGACGAGCAGAACCCGAGATATAAGGATTTGAAGAGGTACATGAATGGTCAGAATCACCAAAAAATCCGAACTTTGATAGATCATATCGAGCCCGATTTTTTTTTTGGTGCAAATAGGTTATAAAGACCAGTTACATCGTCCTGCAAAATCATAGAGTTTGATATGTACCGTTACGAAGGAAAAGCAAAGTAAATTTTATCGTTTGCTTTGTTTATATTTTTGCGTACCCGCAATTTTATCGTAAGCGACACTGTGAGTACAGAACTTTATTGTGCATAGCAGTTTTCCTATAGTTTTAATTAAAGTTTCCTCAAAATTCGCCTTAATTGAATGCTTAAAAAGCAGCTCATTACCCTCATCAAAATAAAGTGCATTCTTCCATTATCCAACTGCAGCTGCAATCACTAAGTCCAGCGTGGCTCGTCTTGCGGGATCTTTTTTTAGAACTCTTGCTTTCTCATGGGTTTATACGATTTAAAAGTGTATGAGGAAGATGAAAAGTATGCTCCTTGCTCTATTTTCAAAGCAACAAAAGGCAATTCTTTTGTGTATCGACTAGTCGACTAATCGGTTAGTCGAATAGCAAAAGTTGTTTTTCATAGTCGACTTCACTTAGGGCCGGTTGTTCAATGTCTGATTAGCAAAAATCGGAGGTAGAAGCTCCGGTTAGATACAACGACTGCTTTATCGATCACGTGTTATATGCATGATGTCGAAATCGTCGATAATGATGTTTAACTGGCAAGTAGTCATAACCAGACATTGCACAACCGGCCCTTAATCGACTAACCGTTTCCTTTCACCTTTTTCAACTCACCGCTAAAAAAAACAACGAGTCGCCCAACCCTTCATTTTCGATTTTTCGAATAGTTGTTTTCTTTCAGTAAACATTTTCTTTTTTGAGCACTTATGCTTATTGACAAAACCCAACCGCGATAATAAAAATAATTTCATTGAGAGAAACTATCACTATTCGGATAATTTCGGTTAATCGATTTTCAGACTAACCGATAGTGAGCGGTTAGTCAGTTTTGAGCGGTTAATCGAATAATTGCTAATCGAATATCAACCGACAAAAAAGTTGCTAATCGACTAGTCGCTTGCTCCTTGAAATTATTGTTGCATTAGATGGTTTGTTTACATTTTGTACTGAACAGCTAATTTTTCTTTGACAAGATTGATAAAACAACCTATCTATTAATCTTGGTTGTTTGGTACAAACACAGGGTTGCATATCTCATATTTAAATAGCCAATATGGGTAATTTAAGTGCAATTTAAATGTATTGAAGTTAGTTAAAATCTCTACTTAAATAGGTCATCTGAAATCGGGCCTTAAAATTCCGTTTATTCAAACAATTCTTAAAGTATCCGCACTCCTTTTTGTTTAAATGGCTAGAATTCACAACATAAAAAACTATCGTAAGCGCCAATACTTTGAAAAATTGCCTCTCAGCATGTTAACGAAATGTATCGTAAGCGCCATTATACCTTAAAAAGTAATAGTCCTATCCAAAAGCCAGCGGCTAATAATACTGTTGTCCATTTAAACCGATAAAAAATATGATACCATTTAAGGATAAAACAAAAAAACTCCTCGTGTAAAATTTGCCTTTTGTCGCTTACGATAAAATCCAAAATCGATTCTCCGAAGAGAAAAATCCTCGAATACGTGTTAGCTTATTGCATGTATAGAACCCATAAAAAGTTTTGAAACGAATCGGAGACGTGACATCTATTACTAAATCCGTCCGACCCAAAAAAGAATGGCTTTTTGTAGAATAAAATGTATACCACGCAGAGGCTTATTCACGAAGGTTAGTTGGTATAGCGGCTGTTTCTCCCCCGTTCCCTTCCAGTTATATTTATAAAGAAGGTCATCTGTAAACATGCGGCGGATGACTTTGCCGACATCCTCTGACGCCCCCTTAACCTTGTGCAAACACATTGTCTATGAAAACTTAAAATACAATCATGTAAACAATAAAGTGTAAGGTTTGTTTGTTACCATTGTTCGAACAAAGTCTGGTGACTGCAATCTTTGTTCTACTTCTAGCACTGCAGTGATAGTATGCAAGGGGATCATGTTAGCTACTTCGTCCATTTTGGAGTCTGCCACTTTGCACTCCCTTATGCCTTTAGCTAACGCCATAGTTTGTGGGTTTTTGTCAATTTCCTCAAACGCAATAGTGATCCTCTCTTGATTGCCTACGAGTGTGTCCATCCCCTGGCTTAGTATGGATTGCTAATATGCGAGAAAAAACTTTTAGTTTTAGGAAAAACATTTTCCAAAAGAAAAATAACGTACATTTTCCTCAACTTTCACCAGTTGGGTATTTGTCTCCCTCAATGTCTTCAGAATATCTTGAAAAAAAAAATAGTCAGTCAAATATACATATATACTATATGTATCTGCTATAAACAAAATTATGATTAGAAGTAATATAAATTTTCCTTACCGTTTTGAACAAAGGATGTCGAGGACTCCGGAATAGGCTCATGTACAGCGTCATAGCTTATTCTAGACAACATTTCTAAAAAATATAAGTTAGAAAATATATTCGCTGTTTTTAATACTTTGTTTGGTTGCCGTTTTCCTCTTGATTGCCCTCAAAAATGTTTACCGAATGATCCATGTATTAAGACTAATAGTTCATTAATTACTAAATTTTATTATGTTATGTCGGCCGCTGTGGTGTTGTCGGCGCCCTGGTCAAAGCAACATCGCAAATAAAAAATGTTCTTCAGTACCAGAACCCTTGTATCATATCGAATCGTAAATGTTAATCGAATCGTAAAAGTTAATATACTTTATAAAATACTAGCAGACCCGGCGAACTTCGTCCCGCCCAAAATTTTTATATATTTTATTGAAACTTTTTGGTCCAACATTTTCACCAACAATTCACGTTTACGATTTTCATTGGCACATTTGTCTGCTAAGATTAAGGTTTGGTGGTCATTTGCCGCTTTAAATAACCTAAGGAAAGAGTTATATCCGTTCTTGAAATTCTCCAGTTGTGCGGCATTTCATACCACGGTTATTTGCAAAGCGAAATAAATTTTTTCCTCTTCACTTCCTGGCGGCAACAATGACCCGGTTCTATAGTGAATGTCCTACAAGCTTTACAGTATAGTAGGTGGCAATTTCAAAATGGGTGCGAATCATTGTTCTACAGAAATGCAATATACATATACTTATTTCAGACGAAATACCTTAAAAGTTTGAACGCATAATAATATTGGAAAATCACATCCATTGGGCCAATTGCAACGCAGGAGCGTTCGATATACTCAATGGTGCAACAGGTCGATTTAATCTGACCTTCACGGCCCCTTCTCTCACTTGGCTATTTTTAGTAATAGCTCGACTTCAGCACCACTTGGCAGCACGTTTTTGCAATAGTATTGCATACATATTTAAAACATTAGCCAAATCGGATCATAAATAAGATTTGTAGTAATAACTCTACTACAGCGCCAACTGTCGGATTAAATTGTGAAACTAAACCATCCAGAGACCCACTCAAATACACAAAAAGTTTCGTTAAAATCCGTACAACCATCTAGGAGGATTTCACTCACAAACACACCTACAGAAGAATAAAAAAATTCATTCAAAGATAGCTAAAGGTCGGTACGTTTGTAGGCCTCACACCCCTTTTCAAATATACATATCTCCATACGAAGTTCCAGTACTGTACCATGAATACTTTCAGAGATATGCAGTATAAAAATTCGATTTATATGGGAGGTGCCACGCCCCCCTTTCCAAGAGCTGCCCTCTTTCTTCATGAGTATGCGATTGATTTCGTATATCTCCATACCAAGTTCCAGAACTCTGCCATGAACACTTCCAAAGATGGGCAGTACGAAAAATTCGGTTTGTATGGAAGATGCCACGCCCCCTTTTCCAATAGTTCCAATTTTTCTCCAAGAGTATGCGATTTATTTCGTACATCTCCAAAAAATTTCCAGAGATAAGCAGTATGAAAAATTCGGTTTGTATGGGAGATGTCACACCCCTTTTTACAATAGCTAAAATTGTTCTCCAAGGGTATGCGATTGATTTCGTATATCTCCATACCAATTTCCAAAACTCTACCATGCACACTTTCAGAGATATGTAGCATGAGAAATTCGGTTTGTATGGGAAGTGCCACACCCCTTTACATATAGATTTTTTTCAGCCTGGAACCATCCTTGGGAAACGTGCGGCAGGTGGCAGTTTCAAAAAAATCGGTTCAGCCGCTCTCGAGCCTTGCGAAAACTAACAAACGGCTTTCTAAATATATATTAGTTATTATTACAATTATATTTTGATAGTATCCGTTGTTTCTGATTGGCGCAAAAAAATCTTGCCTAGTGACGAATTCGCCCCTTGATATGGTCGTTACTTAAAGCTATTTATATTCGAAATTTCATGAAAATTGGAAAACAGGAATCTATAAGCTTATCCAGGCAAAAAGCTACCTGCGTACCGAATTTTAAGCAAATCGGACCATAAATACGATTTCTTCGAACAGATCGGTCCCTGGTCCACTTCTCGGACAAAATGGATCATATATGCTAATATATGCTAAAAAGCTACCTACGTACCGAATTTTAAGCAAATCGGACGGTAAATACGATTTTTTCGAATAGATCAGTCCCTGGTCCACTTCTCGGAAAAAATGGACCATATATCCTAATATATGCTAAAAAACTATTTACGTACCGAATTTTAAGCAAATCGGACTATAAATGCGATTTTTTGGCATAGATCGGTCCCTGGTCCACTTCTCGGAAAAAATTGATCACATATGAATTTTAAGCAAATCGGACTATAAATGCGATTTTTTCGAATAGATCGGTCCCTGGACCACTTCCCAGAAAAAATGGGTCATATATGCTAATATATGCTAAAAAGCTACTTACGTACTAAATTTAAGCAAATCGGACTATAATAAGTTTCTTTCGAATAGACCGGTCCCTGGTCCACCTACCCGAAAAAAGTAAATTTTTTTAGCCTAAAACATGGTGGTTACCGAAAGCTATTTGTGTACAAAATTTCATGAAAATCGGATCAGCCGTTCGCGAGATTACCTGTTACAAAAAAAAGGGACTTCTCTTTATATAATTAGTATAGAAGTATAGAAGTATAGATTGCACATTATATTTAAAATAAGTTTTTTTTTTGTTAAATTCTTTTTGATGTCCGTAGGGAAAAGTAAATATGGGCATTTCCAGTCTGGCGTGGCGTGACGAAATGTTAAAAAATAAATTGAAAATTACAAAAGTTAAAAACTCTGGGAACTGCTTTTTTTTTATCAGCCGAAGTATCTGACTTGACGTTACATGGCGTTACGTTACTAAAATTTCCATTGAAGTTTTTTTCGGTAATTAAACTAGATTTTAATGGAAATAAATCATGAATTTTATGTCGGATATATTTTTTGTTTTGACTTCAGCGCTACCTAGTGGTTCCATTTGTTGCAAATCTGTCGTACTATGATCTTACCCTGGAAACCAGAGTACGAAAATAAACTGTACAAAACAATTCCCATTTGCTCATCGATCATCATATCATTTGTGGTTTTGTACAGTTTTGTAAATAGTCAGAAACAAATTGTAAGATTCACTGTCATTTTCCCCAACAAGAAACGTTTGCTTTTCGTTTGTGACAATTGTACCATAGGGTACGTTTTATATGTATGCAAACGATTCAGTTACGTGAAAAATATTTTTTTCTTTAAATTTTCATATCCAATTCAATTAAAAAACATTTTTTTTTTTTTATTCATTGCAGCCATTCGTTTTGTGTTTAGTTATTGCATATGTGTACATACATACATATATTTTTCTCTGCACGATTCATTTCGTTTGTTGTTTCGTCTGTAACTACTAAACTACTGTAGTTACTATCGCCAAAGTAAACTCAGCCGTTTTGTTTTCGTATTGTACCGAACTGTTGAAGCAATAAACGAAACGAAATAGTAACGTACAATATAGTTTATTTTCGTACCCTGCTGGAAACGTCAATATGTCTATACTTTGAAACCTATATGTAAAGAAATATAGATATATTTTTGGCTTTAAAGAGCACAAATGTATAAGGTCTTTGGTTGGCATGTGGCGGCATTTCAACCCGCGCCTTCGGTGATGTCAAGTAACACACTTACCTCTACATAAACAAACACTTACTAAAGTGCAAAAGTGTTCATTCTTTATTAGAAAATGAGACCAATATTCAGATTTAATTTTCTGAATTTGGTATCGATATTTGGAATATCGAGTCTTTTTATCCCGATATTAATGGGTACCCGATATTTTTACAGCGATATTTCAAATGCGTACTACACCGGTAATTTCGGTTCGATATCGTGTCCGTATGCATAAAAGGCGTTACTGGCCTTCTTCACCCTTTCCTCAACATTGCCCTTCCACAGCAGCTTACTGTCCAAGACTACTCCCAAATACTTTGTGTGGTCCTTAATTGACAGCTCGATGCAACCTAGCCTCGGGGTCTCCACAGTGGAACCTTATAGCTTTTGTGAGGACTATAAGGTCTGTTTTGTCTGCGTTAACCCCTAGCCCCACTCGAGATGCCCATTGGTTAATTACTTTCAAGGCGCTGTTTATTACATTACTGATAGTGTCTAGCAGGGTTGTTGTGAATATTATTCCAAAATATAAGTCCTTTCCGGATAATAAACAAACGGCCTGTCCAAATTAAAAAAATTTGGTTACATATGAAAGAGGACTGAAATAGCTTTTAACCAGAAATAACGAACGACCTCTATTTTTTTTTTCAATTTAATACTAAAGAAATGCATATACCTGACATAAGGTTTGTTCTAGGGTAATTAATTAACGTTTTTTGATGAAATATTTTTCAATATGTGGCTTTCCTCGTTTAGACATTTCAGTTTTGAAGCTATTTAAGTCCTCTTTCATTTGATACCAAACATGTTTAATTTGGATAAGCGGTTTGTTTATTATCCGGAAGACTTTTATTTCGGAATAATATTCGCAACAACCCTGGTGTCTAGGTACTTCCCTGTTACTACTACGGCTATGTCGCACAGTGTTTCGACTATATGGAGGCACGTAGAAAAAAGTCGTGGTGACAGTTGATAAAAAAACGGTTGGACTTAGAGAGGGAAAAGTAAAAGTCATAAAAACCAAATTTTACGTTATTTACTCACCCCCGCCCCCCTTCTTCACGAACGATACATTTCCCAAAAAATACGGGAACTAATCAGTTTAGTTGCCTGTGGCGATTAACCCATTAAAGAAAGTGTTTCTTTTTCAACTGTATCAATTATCTAAGTGTCGTGGAATATTCAGGTGAAGGTATTTAACATTTATTTGGAGCTTTCCTACTTTCTTACCAAAAAATTTACTTTAAAATGTAGATGCTAAAGATTATTAGTAAAAAAAAAAGTGTGAGTACCGGTCCGTCAGGTCTTGAAATTAGACGAATATTTTAGAGAATTGTATGTATGTAGTTTTCGAATATATAATCTGATCTTTGCGCCCGACTTTGCAAATA